GCCTCCGGAAAGGCTCGTTGACGCAGCCATAGTTCACCAGCATAGACCTGAGTTCTGTGTTGAGCTCCGGGTTCCCTGTCGGGTTTAGGGTTTAGGTGACCTCGTCTTGCAAGAGCTTGCTACAATAAGGCATCCAAAGAGGGAACCATTGAAGAAATTCTTCGTCCCCCCCCCCCCCCCCTCCGGGGCGTGCGCTTGAGTTTCTCCGGCGCCAACTTGCCCATGCACCATGGCGCGACCTTCTTGGTGGTGACGAGGCGATGCGTGTAGCAGGACATGAGGCGTGCTTCTGGCTCGCGGAAATTCGTGAGGCAGGAGGGCTTCTTGTCCTCGCCCAGGTGCTTCAAGGACTCATGCCAGCAAAAGTGGCCACCATACACCGCGGAGCTGGCCTCGCGAATCTGAAACTCCCGACAGTCCACACCGCCAGAGCAAGCAATGTGAGCCTTGACTCCCAGGTTGGTGGAGACATTGTAGAGAAGCTGGCGCAGGGTCGTGCCGCCCGCCCGGTACTGGTGCATGAAGAGAAGCGGCCGGCTCACGGAAACCTCGGAGTTGACTGCTGGCGCAGGGTAGCTCAAGACCTGCTGGACCATTTTCTTCACGAAGTCCTCTGCATCGGACTTATTGGTCTTGTTGTTCAGGACGGTGTGGCTCAGCTGCATGGCGCACTGGCTGTCTTGCGTCAAAACTGCCAAAGGCAAGGACACCACGATGCAGCTCACGAGTCTCTTCAAAGGAGCCATCTTTGCTCACAGAGACCGTCTGGCAGGCTTTTACCGCGAGGTCCGACGGTTCGGATTTCGATCTCAGAAGCTGCCAGCACAAACATGTCAGCGATATGAACGCAAGCACTCTTAACCGCCTTAGCCTAGATACCGAGAACGATTCGTTCACAACGGACACCAACAGATTGAGGCATGTTTGGGATCAAGAGGGCCATGTGTAGAGGCTTCAGGTCAGTCATGTGGGGTGCAAAGAGTTGAAGGGTAAAGTATGGCTCAAGGCCGACGCGTGCACGCTGTCAGAGCCTGCCTGTGTGTTTGCAGGTTGACGAGCGCCGGCGGCGCAGCCTCAACCGGGATGCGTACACAGCGAGACATTTACGGAAGAAGATTGATCAGGTAGCTGGGTGAAGCCATATACTACAATATACTGTAAGATACCACAATATACTATAATGTACTACTCGGCAAGCCCAGCTGCGTCAGGAAGAGCTCCGGCGCAAAGACAACATACCATGATACAGTACAACAGATAATTGTCATCCAGGAACAGCCAATGCCTCACTGTTTCTGCAGTGCTGCGACTCTAGGACTCCCTCTTTACACCTCAAGTCCCTCTCTGCAGTGAACCGTTTCTTCTTGAAGCTTCCAAGCCTGCAAAGGTCCTAAAGAAAGGACCTTTGAACTTGAAGGGGCCTACCCTAAACCCTAAACCCCAAACCCTAAACCCTACCTGAAAGCCATGAATCCTGAAGCCCCCAACTCCGAGCTCTTAAAACCTAGGCCCTAAAGCATTGCACAGCTTTCATGCTCTAAACCCCAAGCTCCCTTCGGGACCTTCCAATATCCCTTAATTCAGGAATCTACCTTACATCATATTAAAGATCCTACTATCATTTAAGATATATTCCTTAGTGGAAGGATTTTGGAAGGACCCCGAGACTCGTTTAGGGGCCCTGACGCGGGCAGCGCTGCTTGCCGGGAGCGGCAGGGCCTTCTGCGACGTGGGAATGGAGCCTGCGTGCAGAAACAAACATGTATATACATATATACATACAATTAAACAAATAAATCAATATCTACATATATATATATACCTCTATCTATCCACCGATATATATATATATATGTTGTTGATGATGATGATGACCGCACAAAAACCTCAATACCCCTTAGTACTGCCTTGTAGCTGTATGGCATAAGGTTGAGGGAGGCCTTAGCATGAGTTACTGAATCTATGTATTCCTGACTAAAAGAGTGCCCAGAGGGCAGTGCTGATCTAAACCCTAAACCCTAAAGTTGGCTCTACGTGCAGGTCGGTGCACTTTGAGCACCCTCTACAGGGCCAAGAGCACTAGCAGGTTCCTGTTCAGAGTTGAGCATGTAGGGTGGTTCAGGCAAAGCCAGTAGTAGGACGAAAAGTCCCTGACCATCTCTGCCTATCTACATTGCAATCAAGTCTGGCTGCAGTCTGGGCCCAAACGACCCAAGAAGACCATGCTGCCACGGGCAAATCAGCAAACAAGTTCAAGGAAAACAGCAAACAGGACAGAAGAGAAGCATGGCTTCCTGCCATCCACCGGAGACCCCTGGACCCTGAACACCCTTGCGCCCAAACCAGGGACCAAGACAGAGGTGGTTGCGCCTTAGGATCTTCGCCATTCTCCAAACTGTTAACGCAGAGCCGTCGCCTAGGGTTTAGGGTTTAGGGCCTGTTTAGGGTTCAGACCTTGTCACAAGATTATGCTTACCCTCCTCCGCCACACTTACCCCCCCCCCCAGGTAGCATGGCGCGCCGCTTGGATCGCTCACGCGGCGAAAAATGCGCCCACGTGAACCTCAGAGCTTTAGGGGGTTTAGGGTTTAGGGTGTTATACGGGATTTGAAGCGGTTTTGTTTCCAAGCTGCGTGTCCTAGGAAGTTTGTACTCTGAGAAAATCTTAGCCGAGTAAGTGCAACTTGAAACCTGCCAGAGTCCCGTAAAGTGACAACTCTTCTCAGCCGCTTCGAAAACCTAGCGACTGTGATGATGATGATGATGAGGAGGAGGAGAATCGTGTGGATGACGACGGCGATAGCCGTCGTGTGGCGATGGCAACAAAGGGTTTCCTGGGCGAGGACGACAATAAAGACGATCGACATGACCGCGGCGATCGTGAACAACATCGCTTGTGCTATGCAAAGTTGCGCAAGAGAGGCCGACTAATCTTGACTGCTCTTGTGTCTCGTTTTAACAACCTTGTTGCTGTACCCACCACCGCTGCTGCAGTACACTCCGCGAACTTCTTCGCCTCACCGTGATTAAGCTCCTCAGCACAATGGTCAATGATACTGTTGTTCCATTACCAGAGGTGACACCACCATCACTACCAGGAAGGCTAAGCAGCTGCGTCAGGACGCTAGCAAGACCGACAAAGGAAGCGGCACCAGAGTTCCCCACCCCGAAAAGCTCAAACTCCTGGAAGCTCTCTAAAATCTTTCAGAAGCTCCCCCACCCCCGGCTTTAGGGTTCAGGGTTCTAAGCTCCCCAAAAGCCCCCCAAAGCCAGAAAGCGAAGTCCCGCACCGATCCGCAGCGACGGGGACTTGAAGCCGGGATGTTCTGGTCGCAGCCTCTGCCTCGTCCGGGTGCAGCGGGGAGTCTAATACTAATGTTCTTCTTGTTATGATTAAAAACTGTCATTCATATATTATCGTGCTAGCAATTATTAGTATCATCGCCACTCGTACTATGTTGTTGTGATGATTATGATTATGGTTGTGGCTACGACCATTACTTTATTTTTAACTACGGAGGTCGTCGTCTGTATTTGGTAGGCCCTGCTTTAAGTGCAGTGACACCCTTTCTCCGTGCAGGAGGTTTGGGGTTTGGCGGTTCAGGGTTTAGGGTTCCTTGGATACCCGGCCAAACTGAGCATGTCACGGTTTCAAGGCGGATGTCAAGAAGCAATGTAGTCTAGAACACCTTTCGCAAGGGTTTATGCAAGGCTTTCTGAGAGTTTGTTTCTTTGTATTGGGATTTTCTGATCGGCGACCTGACGGTGGTGTACACTACTAATGCCTACAACGAGAGGGACGTGGGGGAACAGTAGTGGGAAATGTTGGAACTCTTGCCTTATGGACAGAATCATCGAAAAGAACAGCGCAATAAAACAGAGCAAATCATACAAGTAAACGGAATCATCGACGAAATAAACCAAGATGTACGTGCAGCGGTGGTCGCACAGAGTTGAGCGTCAAGGGGTCAACTGCTGAGAGTTTTTTGGATAGCTTTGCAACTTGCCACGCCACCGCCACTGGCTAAGGATTACGGACCGAACCTGCCCAAGTCCTAACGCCCTAAGGAATTGAGTGGAAGTTGCGTGGGAGGATAAAGATTCGGTCGAGCCGATGCTCATCAACAAGTTGTAGACTATAACGCGCCTCGGATAAACACTGGAAGTTCACTAGGATCTTCATGATGAGGGCCGAGGCTAAGAGCCCAGATATCAGGCTCGAGGATGCGGCGACCAGAAACCACTGAAGCTCAAGCGATCGTATTGGGTTCTCGGGTAGCGCAAACCACAGGGGCAATGTCGATCCGTTGGAGCATCCCTCTTGCCTGAACTCAGGCTGCTCGATGTACATTATCTGCTGCCCACCTGGGGGAACCAAACCGCATGAACTGTATTGCTCGTCTTCTGCTCTTTCTGGCACACCTTCTGACTAATTTCGATTCTGAGGGACTAGGCTTGGCATGATGCTGATGAACCTACTCTGTGAACGATGACGATGATGACAATGATTGTTACTGATGACCGCTTACATCATTTCATTGATGTTGTTTGGAGCGTTCTGAAAAGTCGTGGTGCATGTCTGGTTCTATGCAGGTTTGAGAAATTGGACCACTTGTTCCAGAAATCCAAGCCAATTCGACGAAGCCTGCCGTACCGAGCAGTTGCCACCAATTCTGGGTCCCTTATCTTGAAACTTGCTTGTAAGCTCTACAAATTTCAAACCCGGAATCGAAGACCCTGTGAACCAGTCAGTGGTAAATCCCCAGAAAACAAGAGGCCCCCTTTCAAGACTCCACCAAAGCTTGAAGAAAACCCTCCCAAAACCTCTCTTTAAACCTTTCTCCAAGTCTGAGAGCCCCCCAAGCCGAGGTTGCGGCTCGATGTCTCTTGGTTGGTAAGGGTGTCTACAGTTTCTTGTCTTGTCTGTCCTCCCAGGTTTATGGGTTTAGGGTTGTGCTGCAGTGTCTTCGCTCTGGGCGTTGAAGTTTTTGGGTGAGGCTAAGGATTTCGCGTCTTGGTTGAGGAGTTCCGGTTGCAGAGTCTTGCGATGCAAGCCGGGCAGGCGTTGGGCTGGAGGAGATCGGGGGTTGGCGGTGCATGAAAACACCGGGAAGTTAGGGGTTGGGCCAGGGGTTCGGGATTCAGGCTCGTCATTAAAGCCTGAACCCTTCGAGATATGAGTCGTAGGCAAACTGTGTATACTTTATGGCACAACTGAACTTCCAGACCTCTGTTCTAATCATTCGGGCGCTCTTTTGCGGATCCTCTGTCACCGATGTCAGACCCTAAACAATAGCTCGAATGCAACTCCTGTAACACCCCTCACTGTACCACCGTTATAGACCATTGTCCTTGTTCTTCATAGAGCAATACCTCTAAATGCCACGAAACCTTACAGCACCATCAAAGAACATAAAAAAACTTCTATAACCCCAAGCCAATACAACACTTGTAAGACAAACTGTCCGCAGGTGTACAACCCTTCAAAAAATTGCGCTGGGTTGGTCCTCGGCTGGCGATCGGACTCAAGAGCTCAGTGGTTGACACCTTTTGTATCCATCCTGGCTTTTTGTGGGGTTTCAGGGGCTTGGGAGTTCAGGAGGTTTTGAGGGCCATGGCGTAGTGGCTTTAAGGTTTTGCGTGTAAGGGCCGTAGCATGAGTGAAGAGTTCAGAGGCCGCTTTCAGAGTTCAACCTCGGTACTTTAATGCACCGGCCTCTTCTCTGCAAGATCCTGAACAAGCCCT